AGCTGTAAGGCTGCTCTGCAGGCATGGATTCAACTGCGAAGTTATCCCCAACTCTGCGGAGCCGCTCACTTATACGGTGTACCCTGGAAGACTGCACCTCTGTGCTCTCTGAGGCCTGAGCTCTCAGAGATTCGCCAGTCCTTGTCATAAGGCTCCATTGCTCTAAGTCTGCGGCTGGAAAAACAGGAAGACATTGTCATTTTTGTCTCACGTCTGGGAGAAGAAGCCATCCTTAAGCAGCCGCCACCCAACCTTCCCAATCCCATTAACCACACTGGCCCCCTCGTGTACCACCGCATGCTCTCGTATCTGCTGCAACTTCCACATCCCCCCATGAACCACGTCAGGGACATGCTCACCACCATGTAGTGAGTTGAGGTCCTACACTCACCACCATGCAGCTCCACCAGCCTCACTGCACCGGGCATGACCTTACCTAAAGATAGAACTCTCACGTGTCCACCACCACCTTGCACTGCAAGAGCAACAGAAAGCAGAGGGGAGCTCAGCAGCCAGCTCATGTCCAGAGGAGTATCCCATCCTCTGTCCCTTCTCTCCCTCTTCTTCATGCCTTTGCTATGGAACCTCTTCCTGTCGGTTTGTGCCCACTGGCACCCATCTGTCGGGCATGAGGAATCCCATCCAGCTGTCCTGGTGTCCCGGGAGGGGCACGCGCCCCCAGCCGCCCCCTCTCCATCCTTCCACGCTGCCGTGCAGAGAGCAGTTTTCATGCCCAGCTCCCGGGAACAGAGTCACTCCTCTCTTTCCTGCCGGAGGGAGGAAGGTGCATTCCTGGATCCTCGCCTTCCTCCTGCCTTCCAGCCCAAGCGTGCCGTGGCAGCTCCCTGGTGTCCACACAGCCGCAGCTGCCTTGCCCCTGCCTTCCTGCCGTGGTTCTGGCCAGGGTCCCTCCTTGGGAGACACCCTGATCTGCAGTCCCCCTGTTCTGCACACACACACCCTCTCACCTCCAGACAGATCCTCACCCACCCCTCCGCGCCACCCTGCACTCACACATTGCTGTCTCGTATAAAAAGCAGTGGGGTGTGATTTTATAGTGTTGCATGGTCAGGTTGTCCTCCATCTCTCTGCCATTGCAGAGCAGCATTCCCATTTCGGGGATCAGGGAGGAGTCCTGTGCGCTCAGCTTGGCCTTAAGCTCCCGCACTGTGTCATCCATGACCACTGTAAATTCCTTGCAACACAAAGTCACAAGGAAAATACTGAACTCACCAGAGCTCTCGTCCGTGGGGTCCTTCTCCGCCATGGCGCCTCCTTCAGCCACTACAGCAGAGGTTCCGGCTCCGTCACTTCCCAAGAAACCGAAAGTGCTGCTGAGGTCAGGGCTGACGCTGTCAGTGTACCTTCAGCATCGCCTGAGTGCTCCTCCTATGTTCCACGGCGCCTGCCTGCACCCGGCTTTCTCCCCTAAGCTCCTCCTCTCGCCCTCGTTACCTTCCACTTCCCCTTCTCCCCCACCCGTCTCCTCCTTCGGGGTTTCCTTAGCCAGGGAAGGTTGGGCAGGGCTGTGCAGTCAAGGGTAGAGCTTTCTCCGAAGGGAATGGTGCAGGAGAGGCTTGGATCCAGCCTGGGAAGCAGGTCTGAGGAGCCAGAGGGTCTCCTGCTGGGTTACGGTGTCACGCCAGCGCCTTCCCAGCACTTCCCTGCCCTCCCTCTCCCGATAGTCCTGCATGTACCTGAGCTGGGAGTTCACGGCCCTGCTTGCCCTAGGCTGCATGGGGACCAGATGTGGGGGATAGAGGTGAATTTGGGATGGTGGGAGGCGTGGGGCTGTGGGTTGTTGGTTCCCTTAGCCCTGCAGTGCTGGCAGGGAGCTGAGGGCAGGCAGCACAGTGGGCAGGTGCCTTGGCACCACTGGCATGGCTCTGTCAGCCCCGCAATGAGGCACCGCTGTCGTCCTTGGTGCAGACCCACAGGCCCTGCCCCACAGCACCCACCACCCCTGCCAGTACCCCCAGGGTGGCTGAGCACCCTGCCACACACCCCAGGGATCCTGAGGCAGCCCAGGAGACAAGCAGGAGGGGCAGGACCTACTGGCGACATTCAGGGCTCCCTCTGCCCTAGCAGAGGGGAATGAGAATGTTTCAGTGGAGGCCAGGCAATGTGCAAGGCGGGACTGGTTTCAGTGTGATGGAGTCAATGTGCAGAGCCCACGGCTGCACTTTAAGAGATGGTGAAGATGGGGATTTGCACTGCCCAGCAGCTCTGCGGTACTTATGGGGAAGTGAGGACCCACCGCCATCCCCCAGACTGGGGCTCTTCTCGCCCTGCTGGCCTGGCCCTTGCCCTAGCCCAGTCACCCACTGCAGGCAGAGCTGCAGCTCCCACTGCTCCCCACAGAGCTGCTGGGGTCTGGCTGTCTGTCCCTTGGAGGAATGCCCTCGGCCCTGCAAGTTGCAGCCTCAAATCTTGTATGCTGGTAGAGTCAGTTGAGCCCGTGGCTGACAGAGCTCACTGCTAGGATTATTCCCTGCAAAGTTTATTTATCGGCTCCTCCCAAGGCCTAATCCTTGCTGTTTGCCTGGCAGCTGTATAGGAGTGGTTTTCCTCATGAGAGGTCAAAAATCCTGCATGCCAGGTAGGGAAACAGAGGTGGCTATCAGCTGCCATGGGTCCCCGCTGCCAACAGTACCGCATCCTGTGGGATAAGCTCTGCACCATGCCCCAGCCAGGCACAGAGCCCTGTGTAGGAACGCTCCTGCAGCTGTTCTCAGTGGAACTGGAGTTATTTCTCCTGCCTCATAACTAAGGCAGCTCCACGAGGCTCTGCAGTCCCTCTCACAAGGCAGGTGGCTCCCAGGAGCTCCTGTGCCTGCAGGCTCCATCTGTGGGCAGTTTTTTTAGCAGCAGTGAAACCCGCAGCTGAACAGCCTGCTTCAGCCTCTTGCCTCAATTTGGAGCAGGGAGCAAGGAACTAAAGCTGTGCCCGAGGGCAGGAAGCCACCTGGACACTGCAGGGAGTCTGTGATCAGGTGTCAGACAGCAGCGACCCAGGACAATCAGTTCCCGGGGGAAAAACCTTTGTAGCTAGGGTGTTCTCAGGAGTCACAGAGGGAAAATAAAGGACATATTTGGGGTATGCAGTAAGAACAGCAGACAGAGACGCCGACGCTCTGCCAAACAGGGTATGATGGAGAAGGAAAAGGGTTTACTGGGGAGCCGGCAGGAGTGGGAGGGGATCCCCCTCTCCACGAAACGCGACTCCAGAAGGAAAACGCGGAACGAGTGCCCTGGGCAAGGCCGCCCCGAGTTATTTCCCAGCGCAGCGGTGACCCCGGCTGCGGGCGGCGATGCCAGCGCCGCTCGCC